TTTCTTCGTCGACAGGAAGTCTTGAAAAATATCTCGACGCAATCCGTAATGTTTAAGTTAGAAGCAACGTAATTGTTTTACGATGGTAAGAACTTCTATTTTTGATATTAATTGTATCTTTAACAAATAATTAATTACATATTTATTTATTAGAATGAAATTTTGACATTTATATATAAAATGCTTTCACAAATGTGTAAAATTATTGTGTAAAATTAAATATGTAAAATTAATTATTATATGATTTAGAGCCCTGTTCGATAATATCTTTAATTTAAATTCGTTAATTTAAAGGTTGAAATTGATCAAACATAACATAATTATTTTGTCAATTAAAAAGAGAGGAGAATATACATTAAAGCCACGTATAAATCAATATTAAATTCGAAAGTTCTAAATTTTCTTCTGATTTAGTAAAAGCTAACTTTAATATCTACAAAGTAAAAGTAACGTTAATATCTACAAATTTAATCAAATTTATCTAAAAAATATATTATTGATATGAAGAAATTAAATCGAAATAAAAAACTTATGACCAATGATCTATTAAATATTTCAATTGTTATAATTATAACTTTGTTTTATAATGGTCAGAATGAATTAAATATAGTAATTTTATATTTTAGTATAATTTTGTATCAGTATTATTAATTTAGATTAGTATTTCTAAATAAATATATTTCTGAATAATAAACTGGCTGAAAACGAAAAATCTTATAAATAACTTAATCCTTTACAGTCCAACTTTAAAACGTTCAAACATTCTTCTTTGAAAATCCTGGACGATGATTATTCAAAATGTTTCTAATATTGTTGAAATTGGCGATAATCGATAATCAGATAATAGAATCAATAAAAGATGATTCTTTATTTTATATTTGAATAATTTTCCGTCAAGTTCGTTCATTGGCAATATATGGCAATTATATCCATTGTATTACATCGTTGATAATATATTTCACAATTCATTTAAACTCGATCCTTCCTGGATTTCAGGTAATGGTAACGTTTCCCAGAACACAAATAAATGATAAAGTATATAACAAAGGTGACTTAACGGAAAGTTTGATTAGCGTTCTACGTGCAAAGAGAATCAAGATGAATGTAGGAAAAGTAGAGCACGTTCAAAAATTAAATAGATTTCGGAAATACAATTGAAAAGTTCGGATACAACAATTTATGAGGTTATATAGTAGTAAGTTTCGAGGAAAGTAAAATTATATAATAATATAATAAAATAGTATATAATTATATAATAATATAATAATATTAATAGTATATAATTATATAATAATTATATAATAATATAATAATATAATAATATTAATAGTATATAATTATATAATAATTATATAATAATATAATAATATAATAATATTAATAGTATATAATTATATAATAATTATATAATAATATAATAATATTAATAATATTCATAATATTCATAATAGTGTACAATTGTACTAATATAATCACGTTAATTCAAAGAAAAAGCACTCAGAGAGATATATGTGTCTAAAAGTCTTATGAGAGAATATATATGCACTCTTTAGACAATTATTTCGCTTGTCAGATATCAAAGTATGAGAATAGTAGAGTATCTTAAGGAATGTGACATGGATTTGTCTATGTGACTATTATCTATATAACTATTAAATTCATTATCTCTTCTGGGTCTTCATAGTTATGGAATCCAAGGAAAAGACGTTGATTTTGAAAGAGTTAAAAAATAAATTTGAACAAAGAATTTACGCAACTTGAATTCAATATAGAGAAAACATTATCAAATAGGAAAGCATCGCATAAAATAGAAAATCAAAGGATAACACAAAACATGATTGCACATGAACATGAATATAGAAAAGCGGACCAAGAATGGTCAAAGTTAAAATAAGGAAATTTATTATTAAAGAAAATAAGAGAGAAGATGCAATGACAAATACAAAATTACGAAAATAAAGTGTCTGGTGTTTAAATAACACACAGTGAGATATTTAATTGATATAGATGTCATGTCGCTGGATGGCATCATATAACTAGTCCGCTATGAATGTTCCGTTTTATATAAAATATATTGTTATTTAAATATAATTTTTATATTTTTTTGAAATTGAGATCCTCCTCTGTGTATAATGGTAAATTCCAATTACAATGCCGTTCAGCGGCGCGACTCTTGGCCAATTATATTGATCGAATCTATGTGCAGCGAGGTAGCGTTACATGTGTGTAATAATAAATATAATAATTTCAATATAGATAAAAGGACAAAAATTTACAAAAATTGTGTTCACTTCCGAACGAAAATGAGAAGTAAGTATCAAAGTACAAGTATCTAATTATAGATTCAATAACATAAAATTAAAATATATAATGTTTGTACCAGATTTCAAAAGCAATTTATCGTCCATGTCTAGCATTACAGAATATACGGATATAAAGTCATTTTTCATAAAGACTATGCTGTCATAAGACATAGCTATGAAAGCCGAGATGCGAGATGGACTCTACTTCTCATCGATAGATGAGAATTCTAAATTTGCAGGATGACAACAACATGTGCGGGCCAATGCATATAGGCAAATTATATCACATACAACAAATACAAGAAGATAAAGTTTGAACCATTATATGGTTTGTAAGCAAGCGAACAGAAGATAGTATCAGGTATTAAATAAATATCTGATAAACATTAATTTTAGTGAAACAGCTGCGAATTGTGTGTATGTAGACTCTGTGAATAGTGACGTCATGTAGACAACTTGTTAATCAGTTCCGAAAGTCTTAGCAAAAAAGAAAAATTTAAAAATAAGCCCAAGATAAAAGATTTAGGCGAAATTAAGTCTAGAAACCATTCACGTGAAAAATCACTTTTAGAGAATGGAGATATAAATGTAATATATTTAAGTACACATGCGATGATAGCAGTCGCGTTAACCAAAGCCAAGTTACCAAATATTAAGCATTTGAGATGCGTGAAAATGTTAAATTTATATTAAAAATGTATAGGTGAAACATTGACCTAAGATTAAGGAGAAATATTGAAATTGGCGATAGTTGATACTCTTGGAATTAATATACAAGAGATAGATTTTTGTTTTATCCGGATAGTTAATTTTCCGGTTTGATTTGTGTTAAATATGTGGCAATTGTATATATTAAAACAACATATTATATTGATATTAAAAACCATATCTATATGATATTAAACTCTCTATTGTATATATTGTAAACCTCGATCTTTTGCAGAGCACTTCTCGTAAATTTTCAATATCTAGGTACATAACGAGTTAGTGCATTTATTTTCAAATACTACTATAAAATTTCTTCTTCACACCTTCGTATGTGTAATTCAGAATCACCTATTATATATTGTTTCGGATGAGATCAAAGACGTATATTTTTCTGAACCTCGGCATCGTGCAAAGTATGATAAAATTTTAAAAGTTCAGAAAATGTGTTCTTGAATGACATCAAATTTTCCAGTTCCTTCCCTTTAAAACTACGTCGAGTGTTAGAAAAGGCACGTAGCTGTCCAATTATTAACAATTCGTTGACGCATACCCTCAAGGATGCTTAATTGAACTTTATAAAGAACATATTTTAAAAAGTATATTTTTGAATTTTCAATAATTTTAGGAATCATATTGTTGAATTCAAAATTTTCTTATAAAATTATTAAAATTTTATATATTACTACTTCTTCAATTTCGTCAACATTAGATATTATTATAATATTTTACTCTTATTATTAGATTATTGATTTTATTCGACATCAATATCATAAATATTAATTTTGTCAATATCTTTGAACTTAAATATATTTTTATTTTATCATTAATACAAATTTTTTCTTTATTTTTATTTCATTATTTCTTTTTTTTAGAAACTAGAGTTTTTTAAAACTAAACTAGCGAAAAGATATACATGATAAATTTGGAGATTGAAATTTACAGATTTAAATGAGTGATGGATTGATCTTTAACGCTAGAACTATCGACTAAAGTATGAAACGTATACAAGAAATAGTAGAAGAAATAAGAAAAAATTTATGATATAATAAAAAAATACAGATTTAATATATTAAATTTTATTCATATATTAATAGACATACTATTGTAAGTTTATGAAATTTCTGTGATAATAAAGTGATTATTTTATTTTTTATGTGTCAATTTGTTAATGTTAATTTTCTTTGTTTTGTTATCTTTTGGAATTTCGTTTACTTAGAGAAAAATATTATTGGTTAATTATATTTAATTTAAAATCTACATTTAATTTAAAATCTGCCAACTAATGGTAGTTGCTACAAATAAGTAAACTGCGAATTTTTATGGATTTTTATACATTTTTAAATTTTTACGAATAGAACTAAAGAAATGGAACTAAATAGAAATTTCTTTTATTAAATACTACAATAAATATTTCATTCTTAATATTCCACATATTTTTGCATATTATGCGCATTGCATTTATTCATCTTCAAATTTTCCATAAATATATTAAAAGCTGGCAGTTTAGAAATACACTCATTTGATACTTTTGCAATGATACATCAATGAAAATAGGAAATAGGAAAATGAAATTTTCAAAACCTGAATGCGTATAACTTCCAGATTGCACTAACTTCCACATTACAGAGTATGGTTAATCATCGACCATTCTTCACGAAAAAAAGAAGAGAGGAAAGAATAAACGCAACGACAAAAGGAAGCTTAACAGAAAAGAACGACCAATAGTCAATTCCATGGATAGTTAAAACATTGCAACGTGCATCAATTCAGAGTGATTCCAACATCGCTCGTATTGAACTTGATCTCATTTCTCATAGCCCAATTAGCCCACATACATATATAATATATCCGCCCATGCCGTACCGTATGGGGTGGCTTTCACCCAGGAGTGTGCGCAGTAACAGGTAAACGGGCAGCCTCTGGGTTGGAGAAAAGGCAGAGCAGAGAGGAGGTAGCCCCGTGAACCCGTGTGATGATGCATAAGGGTAGACGTGTCGTGACTCTCAATGCTGATACTTCGTCGGGTGCCGGTAACGGGCCACTCGTGACGTTCTCGTTTGTAAAACGGCCATCCTCTTACTGCTGGTCACCTGGCCCGATTTTGCTCCTGCCATTCGTCCCTGGACTGAATCGATTAATAATTGCTGTCTAATCACTTTTCGGTAACTTTTTTTCTCCAGCCGACGAGGGAAACGCTGGTTCGCGCCGAATCCGCCTTCACGTCATCGTCGTCATCATCGTCGGCTTATCACCGCCACTGCCGCTGTCGCCACCGCCACCGCCATCGCCACCGCTGCCGCCGCCGCCACTGCCGCATCCTCGGACATCCGTGGCCGAGGGAGTATATATTTAGAAAGGCAAACGGCGCTGGAGGGGGGACTGAGAATCTGGAGCACGAACAGGTGGTGCAGTATCAGTTGAACAATATCAGTCGGGGAAGAAGTAACAGGTATCGTATCACCGATATCACCTTCTTCTTCCTCTCTTCTTCTTCTTTTGCTTCCTTTTGTCCTCTGACCGTTTTCATTTTCTTCTTTTTTCCTCTTAATTATTGTTTTCTTTCATCGATTCGTTTCGAATTCGTACATATTACGCATGTATAATATTCGTGTATATTACATGCAGTTTATAGATTTTTTGGACAGAATTTCATTTACTTATAGGAGAAAACGGTTATTATTTAATTATAGCTATTTATTCTGATTTAAAATCTACCAACTAATAACTGCTGATACTTTTGTAAGCAATAAATATATAAAATAAAATTAACGTGATTAACATGACTAATTTGTAATTTTTCTAAATTTACAACGATGATATTTTTAGATATTTGAATAATTTTCAAATAAAACCTTGCGTTCTTTATGATATTATAAATTTTTTCGTATTTCTTATATTTTGTCTTCGTAATCGTGTCAAATTTTCAAAAAACGCATGAACATCTGTAGTTTAACTACAAGTCTTAAAGAATACTTTTCACTCCGTCCATGTTAAACGCCATTTTGAAATTCGAATTAGTAATTTCAGTACTATCGTACTTACACTTAAAAGTCTTAAAACTTTATTTTTATAATATTTAATAATCAATGTTTATCATAAAAAAAAATTTTTAAATTACGTATATATTTTATGATACAATTATTAATATATTAACTTTACAAATTCTTTATTGCATGAATTATTATATTTTACTTGAAATATTTAGTACTTAAAATAAGTAATAAAATTTTTAAACTATACGTGTATTCTATAATAATATACTACATGTGTTTTTATAATATTTTATAAATGTATATTTTATAATTGTATAAAGTATTATTTAATTTTTTCAATTTGGGAACAAAGTAGTATACATTCCAAGACTTTTGAAGTATATTTAAGTACTTACTTAATCGCACTCATAATTAAAAGTAACTCGCAACATTTTTGAAATGCTCGCTAACAAGAGTTTCATTCTTCCTTCTTCGTATTTGCCATGCGAACCGTCTCGTTCCAAGAACATATATTTAATTTACTGAAAGTTGGAAAGTCAAAATAATACAGCCACAAGAATTATCTGTTTGTTTTCAAAAATTTTTGGTCTGTTTGGTCATTTGACATTTTGGTCAACTTCTAGCTGACTTTTCCTTTTCGATTTAGGTCATGGTTTTAAGAAATCTTTAATACTATCTTTTAACTTCAGTAATCGTCTAACATTTAATTTTAAACAATTTCAAATTAACTTTTTGAGTTCTTGAATCGAGTTTTCGAATAAACTTCTATCTTTTGATGATTATGCACACTATTGTACAATTAACGAAATCTTTGTTAGGTACTGCTTAAGGATTACACAGGATATCCCCCCTAAGTTTGTCATCTCAAATATCTCCGTTGTTTTTGGACATTTGAAAAAAATTTATTGAGTTATTTAGTACAGAGGGAACCATAACATTGCGGTAATAATTTTTCTGTAAATGGAGGGATGTCAGGAATTTCAAAATCACTTTCATTTTTTTCAATTGGAATGATATGTTTTTCCATCCATTGATTGATGCAGCTCGACATTCTCTATAAAAAAAATATTGAACTGTATGTTTAAATGTATATCAAAAAATGTATATTAAAATGTATGTCAAAAAATTATTAAAATTCATCGTATGAACGACAAGGAAAAACAGAGACAGTATTCTTATGTTTATAACTGTTCTTATCTTTTATGCACAGATTTTGTAAAATTAAAGTTTAAATATCTAATAATTTTTTTATATACATAGGTTAATATAGGTCGTGCTACATCGATGAAAAAAATATATCATTCTAGTTAAAACATAAAGGTGAAGATAATTTTTATATCTCCGATTTCTTCTATGATTTCTTCTTCACTGAATAACTTTTGTTAATAAAATGTTTTCCTATTTCTAAAAATATTACGATAAACGAAGATATTTGAGATGGTAAATTTAGGTAGAACTCTATGCATAACTTTAGTAATTCATGTATGTATGTAGATGTTTGTTTAGTACAAAGTGAAATACAGAGATGGAATAGACAATATTAGTTAAACGCAGAAGACAGATAGATGTAAGAAATTATAAATTAGAAATGATACGCTTACAAAACTTAAAAATATTTAACTTTATTTTGTATTTTATATTTTCTGTGTTTAAGATTTGCAATAAATTGCAAATGATTATTTATGTAAAATTTAAGTGTGAAAGTGTAGGAGTATGAAAATATCTATCAATTTAAAAGTGTAAAAATACGAAATTATATAAAATATTCAGATATTATACAAAATTTATAATTACATACCATGATAGATATTATATAAAAATATCTATTAATTTAAAAGTGCATAAATGCAAAATATATAAAAATATATAAATATATAAAATACCTATAATAAAGTATAATTATAATGTTTAATGAATAGAACAAATTTCTATTTAGATTCAATTTATTTAATTACATTGTTAAAACTCTAAAATTACATATTTCACAAACTACAGATAAAATTAAGTTAAATTAAAGATTTAAAAATTAAGTATACTATAAATTGTTATAATTTTCATTGATATCAGTTAAACGTTAAACATTTTTTTTTAATAATATTTTACAAGCTGTATATTTACTGCTTGTATTACTTTCCTGAATATTTGATATTTTCTTTCTCGCATACAGAATGATTAAATGTCAATAGATCAGGAAATAGATAGCAATCTATCTACGAATAAAAATTATCAAGATTTTTCTTACTAAGATACAAAGTAAGAAAGAAATCGATGCACAATATGCCCTTTGAATGCTCACTAAAATTATTAGAAGTTTAAAACTTTAATAGGAAATGGAGAATATGTAACAAATATTTTTTGATAAACATATATTTTTTGATATATTTTTTTATTCTAATATATTATTTTCTTTAAACCTTAAATAAATAAATTAATCATTTTAAGCAATTTAGACTTTGAGTATCTTATTTGTATGATATTCTAGCAAAACTGAACACTCAACTGGGTTAAACAAATGTATATCATTACCGAACCCTCGAATTTATCTATAGGCTATGTTGTTATTACAACTTTTAAAAAATACAGCTATTAAAAAAAGTAATGACGAGACTATTTATTTTTTATTTAGGTACAATAGAAAGTGTTTTTTTGCCATTTATTAAGTTTTAAAAATCAGTTGAATATTAAATTGTCTGTTTAAATTTTTGTAATTTTTATGAAATAGATGTATTAAATATCCTGTAATTTTTATATATATTTGTAGATCTGCTCCAATAAAAATGTTACAACACACAATATAATAATAAACAGTAGAATATATTAATAAATAAATAAAAAGTTTCTATGAATGTTCGAATATTTTGGTGAGAAACATATACATAGAAAATCAATTGATATTGAATCAAGAAGTTTGTTATTACAATGTTGTTTTTCATATAAAAGTTCGAAAATATTCTCTATAAATGAATGCACGTATACCGATTACTTCAGTTTATTTTAAATAAAAGTAGGAAAGAAAAAGTTGTACCATCCCGCTCATTATAAAATTCAAGAAGATAGAAGATTTCGTTAAACTACAGAAATTTTCCTGTTATTAGTTTTTCTTTTTAACTTTATTTACAACATGGGTAATTATTTACAAAAAGCCTCTCCCATTCGTTTTACGCTTTTACTTGATAATGCGCAATTTTTAATTGTGAAATAAAGTTATTATTGTATCAGATAGATTTTTGCTATTACATTAAAAAATCGTCAGTAAAATACCGATGTCTTCTGTTTTGCTTATCTCTTTTCATTGAGAATTAGCTAAATTCAAGTCGCTTGATAAATTCAATTTTCTCGAAAACGAAGCCTTAAATTTAAAAATTTTATTCTATTTCTTTTCTTTTTTTTATTTCTTTGTGATGAATCATCTCCTGTTCAGTTGTACATGTTATTCCAACGCACCTTGTATTTTTGCGAATAACTTAAAAATTAAAATATAAAGCGACGGTTATGTGCATGTGTGATTTCAAATCACGTCCTTGATAACATATTTCAAGATTATTGAAATCGATGAGATATATCTCTTTATAAATAATTATCAAAATATATGATGTGTACATATCAGATTTACGCATTTTATTTACGTATACACAATTTCCAAAGAAAAAAACAAAAAAAAAAATGAAACAATAACTTATTACGAAGTGCATGCAAAGTTGTTGACAATTATTCAAAAAATTGCTTTCTTTTTCTTACTTGTGTCGTTTAGAACGGTGGAGAGAGGCTCTTGTTGAAGAGACTCAAGAAATTGGAGTTCCTAAAATACGGCACGATAAACGCCATCGCATTCTAAACAAGGTATTCTGGACAATCAATATTTATTGCGGAGATCGTCGGAAGGAAGCGTTTTTTTCCAACAACCTGTGATTATGCTCAGCCCAAAAATGCAAAAATCTGGTAAGTTGCGAACGAAACAGCAACTATTTTCTGCTCAGTTTATATACATGGCGTCTTTCAAAAATATTCGTCGCGTCTCGATCGCGAGTTTTACGATATTTATTATCTTCAAAGCAAATCTATCGCATTGAATATTGAATTGTTCGTGCGGAGTGCCATGATTATTCAAGAAGTACTTCAGTAAAAATTTCTTTTAATAATAATACAAATAATATTTATGTAAACTCACATTGTTAGGAATCCAATTTTTAAGTCTGACGATTAATATGTTATCTGTGAAAAATGAAGCTCATTTTTATTTCAGATCGCCGAATTTTATTTAATGGAAATTTAAATAATGTGGATTTTGATAATAACTTTGATAATACTAAATGTTATTTCAAATGAGATTTAACAGTTAATAGTTAATTAGAAAGTTAATAACGAGAATTTAAATGAAATTTAAATAAAAATTGTATAAGATAAAAAAGAAATAATGAAATAAAAATTTAAATACCTAAGATTTTATTTAAACAAGGATTTAAACAGAAATTCTTCTCTTCTATTAAATAAACTTTATTTTTTTAATCTAATTTAACTTGAAATTTTTATTAAATTTTTGAATGAAATTTTATTTAAATAGAATTTTGTTTATTTAAAAATATTATTTAGATGTTTATAGATTGTTTAAATAGAAATTTAAATAAAAAGTAGAGCAAATTGTAAGTATTCCGTTTTGAATATTTTTTTTATATCTATCTATATTTTATTGATTTTTGGTAGATTTATTTATTTTCTCCCAGAAATTTTTATATCTTACTTTCTGTTACGTTTCGTTTCTATACACATACATGAATGTGATCGGATTTATATTACAAAAACATGTCAGTCTGATACAACACGAAGATTGAACTGAAAAGTTTGTTTCCATTGAATTTTTAACATAGAACGTATGCGTTGTTTTACATTGATTGATATTTGAAATCAGCTTTTCGAAACAAAAAATACCTTTGCTTTGCAGTTCTTATTTGTTAAAAAGTAATTCGTTATTTTATTGTGCGAAATTCGGTAGAAAATTTCCTGTTTCTTTTTTCTTCGAAGTTTTATGTTGCTAAAAATGTTGTTTTACATCCATCGAAATTGTGACGGTAGAAATATGATCGAGAGAACATTTCTTTATTTTCGTGAATTCTGTATTTTTTCAAGTTCAAAAAATAAATTTTGTCTGTTTTCCTTTTCACAGTAACGTAAACAGTAAAATAGATCCTCTTAATTGAAGAATATTTGTATACAGTGAAAGAGCTTTTATATAAATATATAACATCTATATTATATAATGTACTATATAAATTTTTTACAATTTTTTAATGTGTTAGAATTTTAATTTGTTAAATTTTATCGTAATCTTTCACTAAATAAAAAATAATTATAACAAAACAATATAACAAATTTTTAAAATTTATTTAATTTCTAAAAGCTGAAAATATTGTCACGATCGTATACATATGACTTTTGCTTGATGATTGAATGGATCATCATTATTATCATCACTGCTATAAATAATTTTCTACGAAATTCTATTTTTTTCTTTCTTTTTACTTTATTCACAATTGTTGTTTTTTATTATAAAAATATGAATTTGCATAGAGATGCGTAGTCTAATCATAAATTAAGCTTATAAATCTTTATTAAGTGAAAAATTTCGTCTTACTTGGAAAAGCTTAAAAAAAAAAGATATTCTCACGTTGATTTGAAAGTGAGAAGTCAATAAAGTATCGCGTGTTTTAAATTGAGTAATTCGATAAAACAAAGAAGTAAATCGATTGTTTACGGTAATGGATGACTTCTTTAGAAATCACACTTGATTACCCAGTTACTAAATCTTTCACTTAACTTATGTCTAACTGAAGTTGAGTTGCAACAAATCTCGAAGCTTTCAAGTGGATCGGGAACTTTATAAATATTTAGACAGTGAATTGCTCGCACCAGCAAAAATAGTTACTTTGAGATCCTTCTCGCCAATTGATTCTATTCTTTTTAAAAGTTCTTTTCACAGTGATATTTGACATGGGATATGATTCTGATAGTTTTAATAAACAGTAAAAAGATGAATATTTCAGTAGTATATAACTCGTTAATTAGAAAAATCAGTTAAGTTAACTATTTAAATTGAAATTTAAAGATCCTTATCTTCTGTCGATGTATATTTTAAAAAACAATTAACTTTTTTATTTATTTATTGTTTAAAACCATAAACATAAATGCCGAAAAGAAGACTAATGGAAGAAGAATAATTTTTCTTCGCTAACTTTAAATTTTAGAGTTAAACAACAAAAATTCAAAAAATTCTAAAAGTTTGTCGAATTTTTCGTCATCAATTCATCATATATTCAAAGTTTAATAACTTAGTGAAAAGAAATAGTAGATTATAGTAGATTTTAGGGAGTCATTATAAAGCTTCAGTCTTCAAATACGTGGTAGATTCAGTCCTGGAAAAAATTTTTCAATGTTTTGAGAAACGTTTGAATTTGTGAGCATTTTTGAAGAAAAACAATATGTTTAAAATGAGCCTAGAAAGAAATCATCAATTTTTCTAAAGAATTTTTTGGAAATTTGGTGTATATGGTCCAAATGTAAAAGATTGATAGAACAATATATCCTACTTCCAAAAATATCCTAAAAATAGTAACCTAATTATTATTATATTACAGAATTATTATTGTATATTTGTTTATAATAGAATTATTATAATAAAATTATTTGTTTATAATAGAATTATTATAATAAAATTATTTGTTTATAATAGAATTATATAATTATTGAAAGAAACATTCTTCTCGAAAAGGTTAAATCGTAATAATGGAACGTTACAATTGCAGATGTAGAAAACAACGCAGCGCGTAGTATAACATACATAGTATAGTATACAATTCACGATTGGATAATCTTTGAAATTTTATGAAAATGTTTCTAATCGAATATTCAACGTTAAACGTGTACAAACTTACCAAAGTTTTATACGTCGCATGCGCAAAAATATTCAAGTGGCGCGCAAGAGTGATAAAACTATTTTGAATTTCTGTACACTAGTTTAAACCAGTGCCGACATTTAATGTAATAATATCGAATAACGCTGCTCCCATTGATGTTGCCAAAATTTTAGTCGTGATATATAAATTTTGCCAAGCTGTTTATTTCCATTTCAAGAGAAGCTAAACTTTTGCATGCAAATGTTATTCGTGGTAGAAAATACGGGTACTGTTTAATGGAACATGCATACAAGAAATAATGACCATAATTATTTTATATTTACCAACAGTTGTGTAATTTACCTTGCGTACGAAAACACCAATAAAAAGTTTTCGAATTACACAAAGTTTAACGATAAAATATTAGGAGTTTTCTGCAGAGAAAATCGAGAAAAACGAAATGGAATATATTTTTCAAGCAAAGGGTTCACGGAAAAAGAAGGGAACGTCACGTTCAACGAATTTTGAGTTGAATACATTTTCATATGCTTTTCTTATGCTTTTTATCATTAACTGTATTGCATTGCAAATCAAAATTCTCTGAGTTTCGCGTGAGATTCATGAGATTATTTTGATATGTAAGAAAATATAAAATTAAATGGTTCACAGGAAAAGTGAAAATATCAATTTTAACAAATTTCAAATTCAGTATGTTCCTATGAAATTTTCTAACAATAAGTTTTACTATTTATTTGAGAAAAATATCAAACTGTGACGTTACGTATTGAAAAATAAATTTTCATTGTTCGAGAAATTCTGAAACTCGAAAATTCCCTCTTTTTCTCTTCAAGCAAAATGTCTCGTTACGATTAAATCACGTGCTAACGTGGGAAATGAATTTGTCAAAGAAGAACAATAACTACACGATAACTAGACAATATCATAATACACGTAACGCGTCCAAAAACATCGCATTCGATCGTACTAATTGCGAATTGAGGCTTGCGATGTACCATTTCATGTGCGATGTTCGTTCTATGTTTCAGTGAGAATGAACGATTCGCAGCTCGCCATGCTCGCGGAGAAAGCTCGTTACGATCAGTCGTTAAGTGGATATTTACACAAAAGGAGCGCCGACTTGGCCAAGTGGCAATTACGATGGTTCGTTTTATATCAGGTGAGAAAAATTTCAATTTTTCGCGTTAATTTTCATATTTAAAAGAGGACTAAACTATAATTATCGTGTGATCTTCGTTTTCTTTGAGTCTTTGAATATGATAAGAGAAATTACTCGTGTCGAAATCGTACTTGTATACGCGAGTACGTAACAATGGTTTTCGACGATAATTAGTGGTTTCATGTGATAAGTGAATTTCACGTGAATCAACTTGTTTGAAATTAATTAATGAAATTTATCTGACCAATGAATTTTGTTCGTTACTAGGTTAAAATACCTTTCTGAATATGTGTGACATAATATATATTACATAATATATTAGATATATATATATATATATTTATATAGTTATATATAATATACATATTATATATATATATTTATTTATTTACATAGTTATATATTTATATAGTTATATATAACGTATATATTTTTGGTGAACAAGCAAAAGCTAGAAAACAAATTTCGACCAAGATAATATAAATGATAAGTCAAAAGTTTGCCAAACGATATTTCTGTTCATTCACACATTTTCGTTGAAATTTTTTGACTGTAAGCTTCTCGTTTCCTTTCCTGCTTCGTTAAAAATGTGACAAAAAAACAGAAATTCCAACTGATGTTATTGTACAAATATTCTACAAGTACTATCTACTTCATAGAAATTATTCCACGTGACAAATAACACTTAATCCATGATCAAGCGCGAATTCTTTTCTTCGCGCTTCGAGAAATCGTGTTTGCTTTAAAATTTTCACATCGATCCATTTTGTTGCATACGTATAAAACGATGACTATATATATTACAGAACTTGCTGTTCTATTATGAAAACGAAAGCTGTTCGCGGCCCAGCGGCGTTATTTTGTTGGAGAGTAGCTACTGCGATCGTGTTGTCACCGTCAAAAGCAAAGAGCCAGATAAACAGGTAAATGTATTGTGTTTTTGTAGTGTCAGTGTTGTATATATATAAATTAGTTAGTATCCTATAAATTTTATTCGTCACGTAAATATTTCCTAAAATTTCTCTCGAACAACAAATCACCACACGTTCGATCATTAACTCTAGCTTTGCATCAGTAAATTGAAGAAATTTTGATATTAAAAACTGTCAAAGATTAAAATGTAAGATTTATAACTTGATTTATAAGATTTGTAACTAACGAACAGAAACTTGTGCTCTCTCTTTATTGTATTAAAAGTTCTTTCTTGTTTCTTGCGCTTTTTACCAAAAATTTCAATTTCAATTTCTGAAAATTATAATTAATGTATATTAATTACAGCTAATATCAATCATTTTGATCATTTTGATAGTTATATTAAAAAAGCAGATAATTATTTATATTAGCGATTCCCCACCGATTTTGAAATATGTTATCAAGTTCTTTAGTTTCTAAGATATTTATAGAAATGTATTTCTCGATTTTTAATGAAGAAGATTCCTCCACTGATTTCAATAATTTTTCGATTTGTATACTGTATTTCGGTATATTCGATAATGTACTTTAATTTAAATATTTTAATTTAAATACTTTATACTTTATAATTATTATTTTATATATAATATAATATATATTTTATTATTATTATTTGATATTTGAATCTCATCAACTTTTTTAGTTGAAAAGAGGTATTCACTGGCTCGAAATATATCTAGCTTAAACTAATACCAATTCTCGATTAAAGAAGATATTGATGAGATTCAAGTTATTGAAGTGCATACTATCGAATATACGATGACAGATCAAAAAATCATTGAAACCAATAAAATTTGCTGTTAAAAATCGAATAAGACATTTCTATAAATATATATCTTAAGAACTAAAATCGAACGGCGGTAACATGCAAATGAAAATTGTCCAGAATGATGAGTTTGACATATTTCAAGGTCATAAGAAATCGCTAATCTTTTTTTTTTTATTTTCTCGGATTTCCTTCTTCTTCTTCTATTCTTTTTCTTTAATGTCGTATCGACAGCGAGATCATTAGATTGACGACGATGCCATTAGAGTGTAGTAGTTTATGTTTTTGAGATATTTTATGTTTTTTTAGTTTTATGTTTTTGAAAAAAAATACAATCTAGCAGTGTTTTTCGACTTTTTCATCTTTCAATCTAATATATTTATTTATCATGGTGCCGCAGTTCAAATTTATATAATATGAATATATACGATCTTTAAGAACATGATAAATTAAAATTTTATATTGTCTGCATAAAAAAATAACTTTCATAATAACTATTTGATAATAACTTTTACATATTAAAAATAATATTGAGTATATATTTCTACTACGAATGATTTAAACGAATTTCGGATTATAGCAAATATTGAAATTTGATCTTTTATTATTTAATCTACTATAACCAGAATATAGTATACTTAAGAAAATTATTAAAATTTTAAATTATTAATTCCGATTAATTTTAAATTATTCATTTCAATTTGATATGGGAAATAATAATTGTTAAAATAAGTTATTTGATATTTTTGCATTTAAATATATGGAATAAAATTTTATAGATCAAATATACAAAATTTCAAAACGTAGATATGTATAATAACTTTCAAGTTACAATATAAATAATTAAGTTTATCTATAGAAAAATGTAAGATTAACAATCGAGCCGTTTATTTTCAAAGTGTCACAGGTCCATTTATCTTTAAAGATATTTAACGGTTTGTGCTTTGATAAATTTAAAAATATTGGTAACATGGTAGTATAATGTTCTTGTGTTTACTCAATTAGTTTAGAAAATAACATGTTTTTGATAACTATAAATGAACTTAGGCCACTTTTAAAATTAATGAAATAACTTTTTTAATTTTTACAATTTTTAATAATTACAATTTTGTGTTATAAAATTTATAAAAAATCCAATTTTTATTCACTATTAAAGAAATGTTACATTCAAATAATATTTCATAATTTATAATTCTTTCCCAATTGCATATGCGAGAGCGTTTTAAAATAATTATGACGTACAGGTGATATATTGTGTAATAAGTCCATTATATCGTTGTATTTTAGTGTTGCGATTGGTCTTACATTTTTGTCACAGTGATGTCAATTCAATATTATTAAAGTTTCTTGGCCTCTCCCGACGCGATAGTAAATCCAGAATTTTGAATAGTGCATCCTCATTCATTGATGTTTTATAGAGCATTTTATATGGTTCAGTTCTCAAAAATCGTATCCAACATTTTTTTAAACTTTTCTCCATTAATATTTTTTTCCTGGATTTTCAGATTTTAAAATGCGTTTTAATCATCCTTTACTTATATTGAACATATTCAAGAAGAATTTTTTACAAACGGATAATTTTCCGTGAGAAGTAGTTAAAAAATACTTAAAACTGTAATTTCTTGGCGATTTCTTTTTACCATTTCTTAACCATTTTCTTTTTACAACATTGCATTCAGTAGCTTCGTAAAGTAATATATTTTGCTTATTAAAACCACTCAAATTCTAAAATCTATCAAAAATCTTTTTCCTTTCTTCTACATGGAAATATTTTATACAATCCTTTGAACAGCGGCAATCTTTGTTTTGGAATAGGAGTGGTTCTTTGTATGTATAATTTTTCCTTTCGAGTGTAATATTTTTAATATTTTTTTCGTACATTTCGTAATTTTTTTGATTTTTCGTAATTTGTCATCACTCTTGTTTCTTAACATTCTTTTTGTGGAATCGTCTGAGACATTAGCTTAACTCTCTGTTGATGAATATGTTTCTATGATTCGTTCTCTCTTTCCAGTATTTCAAAATTAGAATTACCTTTTAGATCATCTTCACTTTCTGATTCCAGAAATCTTTTTTTTTTTGTATTAATTCGCATGGGTAGAATTTCTGTATATAACAAAAACAGTTAAAATTTCGTTAAAATTTTTAATTATGCCAATTATTTTTAACATATCTCACTTTAACATAGATCACTTTTTTAATTATCTGCATCATTGTCTGAGCTAACTTGAAGATGAATACTTTCAAATATGTTGAAATTTATATTAAAAACAAAGTTAACCAATTCAAATTTAAAGAAACTCTAAATATAAACAAAAATTTTTAGCCCGTAAAATAACTCTGTTTTTCAATGCAGATTGCTGAAAAATAATGCATTCCTTTTTACGTACTTTGTGTAACTATGAAATTTACCATTGCTATTGTTTACCATTCCGGTAAATTATCAATTTATTAGGAAACTTTAGAAAAGTAAATTGTGTACTCAATCGGGTTATCAGTATCAATTTTTGTCATATTAGTGATCTTTTTTACTTGCTTATTTATTTGTGTTAATATATTAAAATTATATTTAATGGAATTATTATTATTTAAAAAATCACTATCTGAGCTAATCAAATACCACTACTTTTTTAATAAGAAAAAAATATTGCTTTTATCTCATAAAATTTTACTGCATAATATACTTCATATCAATTTGAAACTTAAAATGGGACTTAGGCCACTTTCAAAATAAAAATTTTTATCATTTCATTAACCAGTCAATTTTCTGTGTAGAAAATCTTAGTGATTTTAAAATATTTGCTTAAAAAAGAAAAGCTGACGTAGAAATGTAAATGTTAAAACAGCTAGCTCGATTCTTTTTTGGAAAATGAACTTAGGCCACTTAAAAATATAAACGACTCAATTGTTTCAAAATTATAACAATTACTGAAATAACTTAAATTATATTTTATATCTAATTATTGTAAATTATATATTTTCAATTAATTAATTAATACTTATATAATATTAATATAATTACTTAATCCCACCATGTATTACGTTATCTAATAATAGTTATCCAATGATTGATTTCTGAATTTATTTTTCGTAACAGTTATTGAAATTCATGATCCATAGATTGAGAAATGCTTGAAACGTTACACATAACATATTCTTTCGCTTGTGAGACTGACACAATAGCGACATAAATACAATAAATGCTAAATATAAACATTATATGAAACATAATTTGCGTCACGCTTCTTTTCAAATTAGATATAATTTGGCTATTCTTTTGAAAATTACCGAGACCAGCTATCATTCTTAAAATCATACATTTCTCATACACACGGTATTGGGGTCAAGCGTTATGCGAAACGAGCCATATGTAAGTTGAGCACACTTTCAAAAAGACTTACGGATGCAAACCCTGGGATCGCGAGATTCATATCCTTTGTTTCCGCGTTAAAACTACCTTCTCGACGTTGGTGGTCCATGTAATGTCGACTACACCGAAACGACGCGTTACTCTGCAATTTACTGCAATTTACAATCTGCCATTAAAATTTCGCACGTAACTACCGAGATACAGTTTAAAAGCGAATTTACACATTTTCACTTTGAATGATTATTCAGGTTAATTTATAATACCATTCTTGTTTGTGTTTTATTCAAAGTAATCATCCAAAGTGACTAGTAAACAAAGCACAGCCGATCTTTATTTTTGATCATTTGAATGGATGATTCACTTGTGACAGTGACAAGTATAAACTTACAGTGACAACTAAAAGAAACCATAGATCAAAAACCTTAGTTGAAAATTACACATTATACTTGCCTCTTTCTTTTTAATAAAATTGAACGAGACACTGTACGACAGAACCTGTATACAGTGACAGCCAAAAGAATATTTAAAAAATAAAACGCGATAGATGCGAAAATATCATTAATTATGATAACTAAATAATTATGCTTGACAAGAGGAACGAATATAATAACACATTATAGAATAGGCGAGTGTTTAATACGAAAAGAATGTTTAATAAAATTTTATTTATTCAGATATGAAATATCAATTTCAAACTTCCTTTTGTTTGCTATTGTATATTTTATAACGTTTATAACGTTTTGCATAGTATAATTATATTTAATGCGTTTTTGCATGGTAAGTTCATAATTCTGTGACAAGTATCGCACGAAATGAACATG